TTCCTGCTGGAAGTGTGGGGTTATGTTCCCAACAGCTCTGCATGTACTTCAGTGCTGGGCTGACTTACTAAAGGCATTGACCAAGAATTAGCATTTACACCGGCCTTGAGCTGTTGTGCACCAATTTAGAGGACACGTTTTGGCAGTGTTGCTGCTACAACTACAGGATGCCTGGATGTCAGAGTGGAGAAGGAAGGAGGAAGAGAGAAGAGCTTTCCCCTCAGAAGTGACTAAAAATTTGTATGTGGCTGTACACAATGCAAGTTCCATTTCAGCCTTCTTCCCGCCTCCCAAGCACAAAGAGTTTGGAGTACTCTGTGGCAGCATTAACAGCTTTGGCAGGAACAGGGCCTATCCTTGCATGTCAGAAAAGAAGTAAAATGGCCTTAGAAGCCTACATCAAGTCAGAAAGACGAATAAAGACACTAAAGTAAGCAAGAGAAAGAGAGTTTGTATTAAGCAATGTAAAACACAAAGGCAAAGAGAGAACACAAAGGGAAAGAAAAAGCAGGAAAATGAAACACCAGGAAGTACCTATTACATGTTAAGGAAAGAGATTACTTACTTTTTTTTAAGAGCCCTGAGGCAGAACAAGAAAATAATGTTCATACGTGCAGTGCAAGGAAAGAAAACGGAATACCAAGTCCTGATTGATTTAAAACAACCAGCCAAACCAAAAAAGCTCCCATGAAAACCACGAAGAACCATTTTTAAAAGTGCTTTTTTCCAAAATGAATGGAAAGACTTCACCATACAGCTCCAAAAGCAAGGTTATGGCATGGAATGATCTGATGTAAAAGGAAGCACACATATAGTCATGCTAAGAGGCAAAAGTTTACAGTAATTAGTGTAGTAAAAAATGGAAGGACAGCAGCAAAGCTGCAAATCCCAATTTTGAGATTCCACATACTACATCTACCAGCAGACTACCCACACAAGAAGTATAATAAGGCTTGCAAGTATTGTAATCCCTACCACCATCTATGGATCTAAAAGGTCACAGAACCTACCCTCAGTATATAACAGCATTCTGATATCCAAATGTGGAAACGACTATTTGAAAAGAAAGCAGTAGAAATGACTGTCCACATGGTGACTCATCAACACAGCCATACCAAAATTAGTTCTGCATGGTGGTACTTATAATAAGTAAGTCTCACAGTGTCTCTGCACGAGGTGAAGAGAAATAGTATTTCCAGAGTGTCTAAAACACTTAAATGCCCCATAAATGATACTGCCACCCTGGAAATTTTATTCGGAGTACAGACACAAAGACTGACACAATGAGTCTGTCAACAATATTAGAAGTTAGTACCTCATCCAAAAGAGCATTCACTACAATGCCATGCAATGCAATCACAAAAAAGCAGCTTGATACACACCCGCATACCCCAGGATCATACACTGGGGAGAAATATAGAATGAAAGCCCACCTCAGAAGCAAAGTGATAATCAAGAGTGTTCATGGATCCCCTGCAAAGGTCAACATGTTTCAGATATCAAAATAAAAAAAAAACCCTTGGGATCTTTTCAGACGAAAAAAACCCCTAAAGATTCTGATCCAGACACATACATTTACTCAGAAATTAAATTATGTTTTAGTTATTTGTAGATATTTTCAGAGCTACTGAATACGCCACAACATAACACTAAAACAAGACACCCAAACTAAGCAGCAGCAGACTAGAAATACACCTGGATGTGATATCTAAGTAAGAGACGCTGAGCAGCCCTTGAGAACCCAGAGGAAAAAGCACCTATTAAATGAAAGAAATCAAACCATTGTTTCACAGAACTAGATGCATCTAATGTAAGCATTTGCATGCCTGCACAATGACAGATAGAGATCAAGGGAGAAACACTGTTCAGGTAAAGCAACTGCTTGAGTACACTGGGAAGTGAGCTTATTGCTTTTGCAAATTATTAATAATTGAATAGTTCAATAACCAGAAGGAGACCATGGGAGATAAAAGTGAAGACACCGTGCTTTCTCGGTACATCCTCACAGAAACATCAACCAAAGTCGAAAGAG